AAACATGACATAGACAAAAGAACCAAACGAATAACTTTGGAACTGCGTCGAGCTTTTCTTTCCAGTTCATGTGGTTGGCAAGCGACAGAAACATCTTGATGGCTATAAGAGTCCCCCCCTACGATGAGGGCATGGCAGAGAAATTTCGATAAAGTGTCTAATCCGACACTTGCTTCAAACCAAGGGTTAGACAACTCATCACAAGGACTGATATTTTTCTAGCATTACATAGGGAATAATTCTTTTTCCACCATCCTATCAATAATATACTTGAAAACATTGGTTATCAGGATGTGTAATCTGTATTTCATCCTGACTTACAATTAGCCTCTCCCGTCAAATGGTGACTGTGACGTCATAATTTGTTGTTCTCCTGTTTATTTTTGCGTGCCATCTGTCATACCTTAGAGAAGACAGATAAATCTTGAACGGGTCAAACGGTCAAAAGTTGGACAATATTTTCTCTACGATAAAATTCAATCCGTTTCCACTCAACATAAAGTGCTCTTCTGCGACCCTGGATAGCACGTGATCAGCATATGTAATATGGATACGGTATATCAGCTGACGCACGCCCAGTGCTGTTAAATTAACAAAAAGCAACGAGTGACACTAGACAATGCTGTCTCTAGTGACTGACTCGTGACTATGTTGGACCAAGCAATTGCTGTTCTAGTTGAAACCAATATCAGGCGTCTGTTGCAAAATCTTTTGTTCCATTGATATTCGAATGTCATCAAAATTTATTAAGAAGCATGTTTCATGCATTTGATAATCTGATGATACCCTAATTTGATTTGAAGCAAGCATCGTTCGTTAGTGTCTTGTTAGTTAAAAACAAAAGATAAATTGAAGCGGGGAAAAAAGCAGGAATCATTGTGTTTATTCCCCAAAACCAAGAGTATACTGCCATTCCAGTTTAGAATAGGTACCATACATACTGTTGCATTGGCTAGGATTTTTAGTATTTCATAAGGTGTAGTAAACATTTACTTTTATTTGTTATATGCATTGATAAAGTTGATTTCCTAACATCCCATTTTAATTACGATTTTACTTGACAAGTTAATTAACTAACTGTGCTGGTCATCTATCATTTCCTGAAGTTGACCGTAACCCTGTAACTGCAATTTATTCTGTGTTGTAGCCTAAATCTGTAATTTGCTATATATTTGTATTTGTTTTTATAAGTACATTTCCATTTTCTACTCTACTAAATAAATGTTTTGACTTGCTTACCATTTTGAAGAAACGACTCAATTTAGTGATATACATGTTAAATATGTGGATATCAATTACATTTCATTTACCTGAATGCTATCGACTCTGTTTACCAGTTGCAAGACATTTTCAATATCAAAAGTATTTTATTGACGATACATATATAATACAAACATATAAGTTAAAATTAAAGAAGATGTTAGAACAGTATTGACAAAAGAATCAGACAACAGGCTATGCCTATATCAGTCTTCTCCTATTTCCGGTAGCTATGTACGATGATTAAATATATAGAATGTTGTAATTCGTTTTCCTCTCACACACATGCACACCCACACCCACACCAGGCTATGTGTAATATGAATTGTTTAAGGAACAAAACTTGCTTGAATAATAATAATAATAATAAAAACAATACATTAATATTGATTTGGAATTTATCTAGCATGTATAAGTCCCGAAACGTTTTGATGATTGAATATAAAAGTCAACGTGTATAAGAATAGTATTATTGAATTGGTCAGATGCATTACTAATACCATATAATAAACAATACAGATTTAGCAATCCTAATAGATTATAAATAGTGGTAATATGATGCCTAATATTTGAATACAGAGGACATTTAGAAATGGTGGAATGATATCATCGAGATAAGTTGGAGTGTAATTATTAAGAATCTTATACATTAATGTTAGTTTATGATTTTGTCTTCGTGTGTGCAATGTTTCAAGCTGTGTTTCAGTATACAGAATGTGATGAAATGTACCTCGTCTGATGCAAGTAATTAATCGCATAGCTTCTAGTTGAACTGATTCGAAAATAACTGATTCATATTTGGTACAATTATCCCATACTATATCAGAATATTCTAACACATGTCTTATATAAGAGACATATATAATGTTTTTAATGTATTCCTATCAACTGTAGTTTGTAAAATCCTAAGAATACTTAGTCTAGAGTTAGCTTTTTTATAAATATTTGAAATGTGATCTGCCCATGTCCGTTTACTATTAAATGTTAGTCCTAAGTGATTATGGTGTTCATTTTGTGCAACTGGAGTATTGTTAAATAGCAGTTGAGGATGATTGTTAATGTGTCTACGAGAGAAGTTAATAGCTACAGTCTTATTCGGATTGAATAGGATCTGCCATTGCTTTGACCATTCCGAGATTGATTCGAGATCATCATTAAGCATGTTAGTAGGTGTTGTTAGAGAATTGTTATTATTTGCTATAACATAGACAGAGGTATCATCTGCAAAGATTTCTATATGAGACGTTACATTGCTAACAATATCATTAGTAAAAAGGATAAAGAAGAAGGGACCAAGAACAGATCCTTGAGGATCCATGTAGAAATAGGTTTGGTACTAGATTTCTAACCTACAAAGATAACCCTTTGTTTTCTGTCAGATAAGTGAGCTTTAAACCAATCATATCATTTACCTTTAATACCATAAGTTTTAAGTTTATGTAATAGGCCCAAATGCCATACACGATCAAATGCTTTACCTATGTCACATAAAACAAAACGCAAATCTTTACCTTGGTCTAAATTATTACTTATAGTATTATAGTTATCAGCTAGTTGATTCGTAGTGGAATGTTTGGGTTGAAATCCTGTCTGATGTACATTTAACATATTGTAACTTGAAATAAAATTAAACGTATATTAAAAAAAAAAAATTCAAACATTTTGATAAAAATAGATGTTATCAGCAATCAGGTAGGTTAGTGTCAGTAATATTAGAGGCAATGGTGGTAAACAAGTTATTTAGTGCTTCAGCTTTATCTTGTGGATGGATTACAATCTTATTGTAATATTTCAGAGGATACGAGTTAGTGCTAGTGTTAGTCATTTTTCCTATAGATTTCGCTATCTGCCACCATTTTCTTGGATGTGCTGATTTGTCAGCAAGACAATTTTGAAGTTTCTTAAAGTAATTTTCTTTCGATTGCCGATTAAGTATTATAGTGTCATTGCGACAATTTTTAATCTTTTGCCCAATCATGTTCCCCATTTGTAATTTTAGCTATTTTATATAATCTATTCTTATATCTTAATTTATGCCGAATTTCACCAGTCATCCAAGGTTTGTCATCAGAATAGACAGTAATTGTTTTATGATGTATATGGAAGTTAGTAGCAGGGTTTATTTTGTATATAACAGTGGAATATATTTCATTAATGCTAGTAGTGTTATTAACTATGGAATCCCAATTATTACTAAGTAGTTAAATATCAATAGCATCCCAATTAGCTTCATTGAATTTATATATAGGTTTCTTGAATGGTTTATTTTTTAGCGTTTTGAAACAAATGTTAGCAAGAATGGGGCAGTGATCACTACATAGAGGGAAAAGTACTTGTGTTGAGTTAAAAATGTTTATTATTATTAATAAATACATCAATTAGGGTAGCAGTAGTGCTTGTAACGCGTGTTGGTGATTGTATTAAGTTTTTAAAGTGATATTTAGTAATTAACCTTGCAAGATGTGAATTAGGTTTCATTGTTATAAGGTCAACATTTATGTCACCAGTAATAATGATATTAAGATTAGTATTAGAAAGATTATCCAAAATGTTATCAAGTTTATTCCAGTAATCTATTTTTTTATTAGGAGGTCTATAAAGGCAGCAGAGAATTTTATTTTTTGTTATAAGTGTTAATTTCTAGGATGACAAGTTCTATGTCTTCGGTTTCAAGATCAGTTCTGAGATTTATATATATATATTTATATATCATAATACCACCACCGTGTTGTGACTGTCTGTCTCTACGATATGAGTTGGGATGTGATTTTATTTGCAAATCAGATTTCATTATTCAAGTGAGTTTCAGTAAGACATAAAATGTCATAGTCAGTGAATTCAGTATCTATAAGATCAACGTTATTCCGAAGAGATCTAACATTTAAGTGCATTATTGATAAATCATTATAGTAGTTTCTTTGATTAATACTAATTGATGAGGGACCTGGATTAGAGTGAATATTTCCTGACATCAGAAGTAGTAGTTTTATAACAAACAGACTGTATATTCTATCTTGTGTATACATGTAGTGACATAACAATGGTATTACAGGCAGTAATAAAGATCTATGACAATTGCGAGTTCCTTCTTATTTTGTGATTAAATGCACGTCATGTGTCTTGTATAACAAAATTGATTTTTTTTTATATCATATTTATTTCATTCGATTGAAAATGTTAAAGTTTTTCGATGTTTTCTAAACTTTTGAAATCTTTGAAAACAGGTAAAAGAATCAAGCTGTTATAAAAGCGGCATACATAATTGGGTATTTCAATAAGAAATTTACACTAAAAGCGAAATAATGTCAAATATTACGTATAAAGGAATCTTATAAATACGGCATAATTTCGGAAAGTCGAGAGAGTTCCCAACCTGATGAAGACGATAACATGATTAAGACACTCCTTTACGACACAATGAGAAATGGGTTTGGTAACTTATTGCACGGCTAATTTGCCACTTGTTCCAGTCAGACCTGACAACCTTAATTAATACCTTACGTGCACGCCTCTACTAGACATGGCTTATTACGCCGCTGGTCATCTTAAATGACCGCATCTTGCAACAGTGGCTTTTCATGACTGTATACATGCAGTGTGTGACCTGTCAGACAACGCTTCTGCTCGAACCGCTCCTCTCTCCTCAGTCAATCTGACAGACCATGTCAGATGTAATATCATGAACAACAAATAATGACCTCTGACCTTTTCATGGTTTGGGTGACTATAAAAAGAATGCACTAAGTCCAAACGGTCAGCTGTTAACTTACTTCACTAGCTCACCGACCGCCTGATCCTTCCCTGACCGACATCCTCACTAAAACAGAAACATGTGGAAGCCAATAGTCGCACTTGTTGTCCTTGGTATCACTCTTCAAACAGGTAATCTTTGGTTCTTTTAATAATTCGACTGAATACGGTTTATGAAGATTTTGTTTTAGAAATTGGAGAATATTATATGAGTAAATCAGTTGGCAACTTCAAGATGTAAAAAAACCGTCTCGGAGGTATTATTTGGTTACGCTATTGTGTTTCTCTGGTTGTATCCAAACATGATTTTGTATTTCAAAAAATGTTGTCATAAACTGTGAATTTTGTGAAATGAATTGCAACACTATGCAGCTATGTTTAATGCAATATGTTGTATAGTCTTAATAGCAATGTCGGAAAACGTTATTTTTATGTTTCAACTGGAACAACATTAATTAAATGCTATGATTTTTAATAGCTTGAATAGTAAAAAATGAATTATTTCGTTTATGTATTTGCATTACATTCCTATTGCTCAAGAAACTACACGACTCCGAAATCACGAAATAGTGAAGTCAACTTCACGAAATCATAATGCTATGAGTAGAAGGCACTTATATATATTTAAAGCAACATATAACTTTCCATGGAAAACTGCATTACTTATATGATATACGATAATCAAAGACTAGATTAAAAGTTTGTATATATAGCGGTGTAACTTACAAAAGTCATATTTACCGTCAGGAGCGCATTATTGTTTCATAAGAATGTGGACATTGTGTAAAATTTTCAAATATTTTGCCATAAACGTTTCATTTTTACATGTGCATATTTCTTCAATTGTTTTAGTTTAATGCAGTAAAACCACAAAACCTCGAAACTGTCTGTTGTCTAATACTTCAATTTAATTTATTGTGCTGTGGCGTTTGATATTTATTTAATTCTGTCAACATTCTGTACTACAAAAAACAGACATGTGTCGTACATAAATAGAACAATGCAAAGATCAAGACATAGTGTCAGATATCTCTGATACTGACACATACTATTGGGTTTGCTATAAAATCCAATTCAATGTTTATTAAGTGACTGCACAATTATGTATATCCAGTATTAATACGTATCAGTCAGTTCACTCAGCTAAACGATTATAAATATCAAACGTTTGCTAATTAACGAAAAACTTGTAACGAGGAAGTTGAATCTTTCCCATACGTTTATAAATAAGGAGAAATTGACATTGCAATGTACGTTTTCTTTGTCAACGGTTTAAAAAAGCAAACATATCCGGGTTTTGAAATAACCGGTTGTATTTTTGTGACAAAGAATTGACACTGATGTTACTTAATCATTGTTTTTGGTGTCTCATTTTCATTTTTGTTTCGATTTTCGATGATCATGATATTATTCAAAACGTTGCGTACTATCATCTCGAAGTAGCAATTGAGTTTTCAATATCTGAATAGAAATTTAGCAAGAATTGAAAAATTGTACAAAATCTTAAACTCCTTTTTGCTTTCTTTACAGCACAATGTCAAATGGCAAATGCTATGGAACAGATAATGAGTAATCCCTTATTTATGATGAGTATGATGCAACAAAACAACAACAACCAAGGTTCGAGTAGCTCCTCTTCAGGAAGCGGAAATGCATCTGGAGGAACCGGAAACAGCTTCTCTAACTTGCTCATGCAAGCTGCAATGTTCGACATGATGGAGTCCGGCGGTATGGCCGGTATGGCCGGTATGGCCGGTATGGCAGGCATGGCAGGCATGGGAGGTGCCGGTGGTATGTCGGGCATGCCTGGTATGCTTGGAGGTATCAACCCCATGATGCTTGCTGCTGCCAGTGGAGAAATGAACCCAATGATGATGATGATGCCAGGAATGGGAGGAATGGGCGGTTTAGCCGGTATGATGGGAGGTATGGGCGGTATGGGTGGTATGGGAAGGATGATGGGCGGTGGCGCAAGAGGCATGGGCAGACCCACAGCAGGATCAAACAGAGTAGGAGGTGCAGCAGGCCGATCTGCAACGTCCGGTTAATTATTTGGACTATTTTCTTAATTATTAAATTATTTTTGTTGTAATTATATATTAAGTAAATCAACGCTGTTTATTGTTGGAAGAATAAATCGAGAAAATTCCTATTGTTGTAATTTGTTATGTTTATTATTTTTACGGCAATATAGTTTATATGTGCGTATTAATACCATAAAATGTATGCATAAAGTTTCTAGCTAACTGCTTCCTCAAGTATGATGAGTTTATGATATCTCTAAATAGAATTGCTAAAATGAATTACGAAGTGTCATTGGTATAGCGAATATAAACAAATTATAGCAGTGGATCATTATAGAAAAACTAAGAGAGTGAATGTTTTTTAGAAACAATCAAAGATTGAATATTTACAGACAGTCAAAAGTTAAGACATTTATAAACATAAACTGTAACAACAGACAAATAACAAACATGATTTCAGAAGGGAGGTGTATTGTTACAAAATATGTGCGGATATTTGCAGACATAATACAAGAACGGATATTTACAGAAATAAAACAAAAATGGATAATGATAGTAAAAATATAAAAATGGATATTTAAAGACAAAAAAATAATAATGGTTATTTACAGACACAATAGAAGAATGGATATTTGTAGAAACAATGTAAGAATGCGTATAATTAGAAAAAAATATAGGAAAGGATATAAAATAAAATAACGGATATTTGCAGGCATAAGATAAGAACGTATATTTACAGAAAGGATTCAGGATGGATATTTACTCAATATGAATGCTGATATTTACAGAAACAATATCAAAATGGATATTTGAGGACATGAGATAATAACGTATTTTACAGAAACGATTTTAGGACGGATATTTACTCAATGTGAATGCTGATATTTACAGACACTTTATATAAATGGATATTTGCAGACATTATATATGAACGTATTTTTACAGAAACGATTTTAGGATGGATATTTACTCAATATGAATGCTGATATTTACAGACACTATATAAGTGCGGGTATTTAAAGAACCATGACACGTGATGAAAAGATATTTATCAATGCACAAGGATACCATGTACATGTAACATATGAAATATAGCACCATGATAAATTATGATAAGGTATTAAATATGGCACAATGATGCATAATGTTAAGATAAAACATGTATCGCAGTGATATGGGATAGATACTATAGCACCATAAACAGATGTAGATATATTGTGTTCCGCGGAAAAGATTCAAAATAAGATTATTTTTACAAAAAGGTCGATGTATATCTACCTTATAACTCACGTCATGGGTGCATGTGTCCAACGTGACACTGCAAAATAAAGAATACAAAGTGTATTACCAGTTGAATTTACAACAAATGATTATCTCTATCTCTATTTATCTCTATTTAGCCTGAATATTTTTACAATTTTTACAAAACGAATTTCATTAAACTGAATTGAAAAAATAAATATCGAATGATGTGGTTATCAGTGAATCAGAACAGTTATGACCCGACATTATAGAAATACCATTCAGCATCTTCTCAATGTGGTCAACTATTGTAGCAGAAAGTTCCGACCTGGCCTGAGAGTTATAGAAGCCCATTTACAGTTAACCAGCTAGTTAGTTTATCAGTCTGTTAGAACTCTTCGACAGGACCCAAAAGTTATACAAAATATTTGTTAGCTAGCTTCCCAGAGGCATATCGTTTTAATCTATCTCTTTTTAAAAGTGAATTCGATGAGAGCTGATGGTTTTCCAAACCTGTAACATATAACATCCTTCCAGTCAGTATAACATCAAACAGTAGGGTGGACGATCTCGGTTTATATAACATAATTGATACTCCTTTTGTCTCATATCAGAGCTTTTGGCTACTCAACAGGTTAACTTTCTACACAGCAGAAGACCCTAGGCAATCTGGCTGTAACATTGCAGATGTGTTGCTTAAAATGAGTGTTCATCAACCAGTTGAATAACCCCTTCTGTTTCTATAATGTGTTATGGTTATTATCTTTATGTCTGGAACGTGACCATTTGGAGATTTGCGTCATGCACTACGAGCATTTATATGGTATATCAAACCATAATGGTTGCCTGACAAATAAGTTTCACAAATCCCATGATTCAAAGCGGACAATATCAAAACATTTGAGTGTCATACAAAATTAAATTGAATATAAGACTTTAAACATAGACATGTGATATTTGCACATAAATAAGTAAAACTAATTATCGTTACCCGTGGGTTTTGATTATCAGCAAATATCTGGTTCTCATTCGTTTAGTTTAAAAATCTTAAACGTATCTCAGTAAGCCACTGATTGGGATTTCCCTACCTACCTATCTCCTAAATAAGATAAGCCAAACATATAACAAAAGTGATTGACTAAATCAATACTTTCAACAAAGCATACATTTCTGAAACATTGAATTTTTATTACAAATCAATATTGAAAAACTATAAAAAGTTACAAAATCAATCAACTGGCCAGATTTAAGAAATTACTCGAGTTTTGAACAAAACCTTTTTATTGGTCTTTAATGCGTCATGAGAATAAGAAGAAACTTCTACTCCTCTAATATTGAATTAAACAAATTGTTTCTATCCAAATCTTCATTCACATGGGTTTCTACATACAAACAAAAAATACAAGTATAATTTTATTTTTGATTGGCGTGACTTACATTATTACTATAAAACATTTTTCTACTGTTAAGTTATAAATCAAACAAGTTCAGTCGTACTTCGCAGGACTACTGTATGATCAATAAATCGGAAAATACGAAACTATGAACGCAAACTGAAAGCAGTCTAATTCAGGCATCCACTGGATTTTCTTTTGTGACACACTTCCAAGACACGCATAATGGTTAACCCGTCATCTACCTTTATATAACACTCATTTTATATAGTTTAATATGTTTGGAGGTTTTGAATATGTTAAGTTCGTCAACAAAAATACAGTATTGTATATCGACACAGCCGTCTGTATTGCTATAACTATTCAATTGATTTCGTAGAAATGATAGTCAATTCCTCCATTATGCATTTTGTTCAGAGGGATATAAAGTAGGTGTTGTTTCGCGATATTGTAAAATCCGCTATACAAATAGAAACATATATAAATCACTGTCGTACTTTAGAACGTTTTATGTCTAAGTTATGTTAGTATTTCAACGTAAATAATATGACTTTCCTACATGTATGAACGTGACTTGTTGATCGACTAACATTTAGGAAAACCAAGAAAAATTCCCTTGATTTTGACACTTTTATCGGTCTAACGTCTCCCTGTGTATTGTATGAAAGTAGAAGTCACGTTTACCTGACCTGTGTGATATATGTGACAATTTCCAGATCGTTGTATCACGGCTGTGTTCACTGAGTAACGAGCTAAAATAAGATACGAAAACCATAAAAGCCTCATTATCCGTAGGTGAAAATGATGCATGATTTTCTTTCACCAAAGAAAATATTCGATTGACGTGTTTTAAAGTATAGTAATTGAGAAATATACAACATATTCACAGATTTTTCAGAGAAGATCGCTCATCACGGTGTCACTTCATCTTTTTAAGAATGGCACATTTTATAAACCTTTCTATTTATGGGATGTCCGAAAAAAGGCGAAAGAAAAAATAATTAATCCTTATAGGAAGACTTTTTGATTTGAACTTCTAGAAAATAATTTTAAATAAAACTCATCCGCGAGACAAATGCGAACTGTATCTGATGCGTACCTACTTTATATCTTTCATGTTCGCCGTATAAATGTTTCCGGTTCAGTTTAATTTATTGAATCACAAAAAGAGTTGAACGGAAAACATATTTCTGATATAAACAGTGTTCTATGTGAAACATTTTCGCTAAAAAATTAGCCATGCTCATATGAAACAATTAATATACTGCAACAAGTATGTAAAATTACCGTTGTACCAACACACCGTAGTGCGATCTACACCGATAGACTGCAGGCTTAGCCCAAGGCATTTTCGCAGTACTGGTAAATGTGATACGCAAGTAAAATATATGTCAGGTGTAACATGTCACACCTGTCCGACGAATATATAGGATAATACTAAGACAATGAACTTTACAAACAATATGTACAAACTCGGTCGGGACCAAACGAACTGTTCGACGAATAAGCAATATTCGAATAAACTAAGTTCGAGAAGTTGGAATTTACTGTATTGGAAATATATATAAAAAAGGGAGTAGCAGCTTAAATATTTCTATCATATTTAAGCCATGTGACCATGAATGAAGGCCAAGGTATATTTCTCGAAGATAAAACACACTGCCGTGCCGTGACTCGTACCTGTAACCCTTCGTTCCCGAGCCCGGCGTCCTACCACTAGAATACCGTGCCTCCTCCTTATATCTTATCCAAGACACCCGTTGTGTAAATCATAGTCAAAACCAAGTTAAGTCACGGCCTCAAAGAGAACGCCGTGTCAGTGGTTACAAATCTATCAAATAAGAAAGTGGAAATTTATACAAATAATGTGCAAGTTATACCGCTTAAACGCACTATTGTATTTATCTTATCAACAAAAACATATCTGAAAACATGCCTTTATCTTTTTGTAATGTAAGATGTATACTACATGATGATGTTTTCTCCACAAGCTGGAATTGAAAAGTGGCAATAGCGACAGATTAAACGAGTGTGTGTTGTATAGGGACGTCACGATTTCTATAACAAAGCTATTCTATCTTTTCAGTGTATGTCATGTTTATATATGAATGTATCTGAATCATGAATTACTCATACGTGAATTAACAAAACTGACTAAAACGTGACATTTTGTGTGATAACCATATCATGGCTGACATTTATAATGTATTTCTAAGTGTTTTTGTAAATAAAACACACTGGAGCATTCAGCGCGACTGTATGCACCACTAAATAGAAAGTATTATACATATCAAGTTCATTTAGCAGTTATCATTTCTCATAACTGTTCAAATAATGTTTAAGGTCAATTTGACTGAAGCCAATAATGTTTCCTAAACGCCTGATTCCACGTCTCAGGTCGGAAATGTTGGTAGACAATGACTTTCACACTTCCGTTGGAATTTTTTAAACCAAGAAATCATTTACCACAGTCTCACTAGGGAATTGTCATTGGTCAGTGGCGTTCATACTGCTATGAGTGCCAACTTAAGTAATTGCTTAAATTAACGAATTGATTTTAACGTGTAACATGAAAAAAACCGTATCGTAACCACATGGTTGCACATACCTCTACTCAGATCAAATACTCTAATCAGAGTCAATACTCTACTCAGAGTCAAAATGAAACACAGGACATGTGGAGTCGCCAAACACCATGGAACTTCTATAGGAAGACTCCTGCGTTCTCGCTTCGAAAGTGATGGTCATCATGTGAAGTTGAAGATCAGTTATCAATACTCTACCATCTAAGTTTATGTTTGTAATTCCAATGAGAAATTATGGAAAAACGTGACATCTTAAGCTTTCTGACTTCATGATATATATTTAAAACATATATATATCTTTATATAAGTAACTATACTCTATAACGGGTAATTTTCGTGTCAGCGTTATTTTGTGGGTTTTTTTGCGAAAAGATTCAGCGAATATTCTCTGATGTAAGATCTAGTTCGATCTAAAATAGATAATGATGGTTTAAAACGTCGGAGTGATTCTGTCTTGGCAAATCGCACGCTAAAATTGTACATTGGCACATGTATGGAAATTCTGTGATTAAGATATAACGTTTTGTTATAAGTCACACCTGAGTCACTTTGTTACAATGTAACCAATAAATGCTTGACCAGTAAACTGACAATTGTTTACGTGTCACGTGAAACTTTTAACATAGGAATTGTGAAAATAACAGAAGCGATGGATTTACCTGTTTCCCGCGAATTTTACACTGCGCGAATTTTTGTTATCTGACGAAAACGTAAAAATAACACACAAATTCAGCCATATACAGAATTATGAAACATCAAAGGAACATCAGTTTCACAACGATACCAAATACACATCTACAATTGAAACAGTTGACATGGGTTGTCGTCGTATCAAGGAATGACGTCCAAAATGTCGGAGCTATAATGACCATATAAAACAATATATGATAGTAACTCCAGCACCTGTCATATATAATACATAAGAACAAAGCGAACACCATCGTCATATATACACCTTCTCTGACGTCTGCTAGTTGAATAATCGGAAATGGCCAATACACTTTGTACAGTCCAAACTGTCGGAGCTATAATGACCGTATAAACCAGTATATAATAGTAACTCCAGCACCTGTCAGATATAAGACATAAAAACAAAGCGAACACCGTTGTCATATATACACCTTCTCTGACGTTTGCTAGTTGAATCATCGAAAACGGCCAATAAACTTTGGCCTTTGACATATCTTCTTATGGATATAAAATAAATGCATTTTGGTATAAGTACATATAAGGCACTCAATACGTATTATTCTCCCTTTGATACGGAAATCAAACGGAACAAGACCCTTAAAACATGGGGAGATTATCAACATGCGTTGCAATTATTTTAGGATGTACCCTGAAAGGTAAGATTTTCCTATGTTTCATTATTTATATTCTGATACAAATGGCTGATATCGATTCATAAAGGATCAAATTTGTACAAAACGAAAATTTGGGCTGGCCAAACTCCAGTTTTAGATGTAATTTAAATGTAAATATATCTCAATCATGTTTTGGAAGTTTTCTAGAGATAAAAAGCCACGTGATATTGGCACCGGCAGAGTATCTATATTTATCTTTACCAGTGGATTAAAAATAGCCGTGGAGCAATCTTATGGAGCAACGATATATATATAAAAAGCAGCAGTAATTACTTTTGGAAGTGTTTATTTTTCTGTGTGTTCAGAGAAAAGGGAAGACTATATCAATCATATATGCAATACTATCATATCACTTATAAACGTGTTCCTGTATGGTCAGTGCTTGTGATGCACTGTTTATGAAAAAACCTTTTAGGTTAATATCATATCACTTACAAAAGTATTTCTGTATGGTCAGTGATTTTGCTGCATTGTTTATGAAGCAACATTTAGGTTAATATTACATCAAATTAAAAGTGTTTCTGTATGGTCGGTGATTTTGCTGCATTGTTTATGAAGCAACATTTAGGTTAATATTACATCACATCAAAAGTATTTCTGTATGGTCAGTGATTTTGCTGCATTGTTTATGAAGAAACATTTTGGTTAATATTACATCACATTGAAAGCGTTTCTGTTTAGTCAATGTGTGTGCTGCACTTTTAATAAAGAAACATATAAGTTAATATCACGTTGCATTAAAAGTGTTTCTATAGTCAATGATAATACTAGCTTATGTATCAAAAACACATATGGTAATTTAACAATGCTACAATGTGTTTTTGAGAAACTAGATGGTAGCTAATGTCACGTTATTTTGGAAATATTTTCTGTAGGTCACAGAGTTCATATTGCATCATGATTTAGAAGTATATATTCTTAAATCAGGTCTTAATGAATATGACAAAACAATAACTGTTATCCAAGGAAAACAATAATATAAAGAGACAATTAATAGGCTAATACAAAATCATTTTTGAAATGTTTTTGTATGGTCAGTGAAGTAATACTAGACCATTCAGTTTGTAGTTAAATATCATCTAATATGCACACCTTACTAATTATTTTGAATTCAAATTAACCAGGTCTTCTCTAACTTTTAAAATTCATAATTAAAAGGGTTTTGTACAACTGCCCTGCTGTTCCAACAATAGTTTAAACAATTTGGAGTTCCATTTTTTTGACCCATAGCCTCACCGATGAGTCACAAAAGGGCGCAACAGCTGTATAAAGAATTGCAATTCATTTAAATATATTATACCTATACAATTTTAAATATATTATACCTATACAATCTTAAAGGTGCAGTCAAAAGTATGTGTCTTACGTTCATGCTTCGTAGAATAACGGTTATTCACTTTAATTCACAAACGTGCGGAGATCGATATATTTTATTTTGTTGTTTTATTTCCTCTATATAGGTGATTTATACATTGATATACAATGTATGTCAATAATATATAAAAAAATATATTTGAAAACTGCATCAATAGGTAAACACGTGTTGCACGTAGCCACGAACAGATCATAAGGCAAAATATTCTTGATAATGCCAAACCATCCCGTCCGTTAACATAAGTTTCCACAAAATAAAATTCATCAGATGTAATAATGTTTACGTGACGTGTACAAAAATCGAAATGCATTGTTGTTTTATTTTAATGGTATAAATCAGTGGGTTGTCCTTTAAAACTTATCTCCAAGATTCATTATCGTTAAACAACAAACTCAAATCGGATAATACTCGGGAATTTCTATTTAAAAAACCAAGTGATTCTACCAAATCGACAACAATATCGTTATTCGAACTAAAAATCGATAAAAATAGGACTAAATACAAACAAATGAATGATATTTCCATGGCGGCCCTTAAACAGTTAAAGAAGAATAAGAGTAAGGAGAATTTTTCAAGTTTGAATTTGACGTTTAAACGATATTATACACGTACAACAAAAAACAGGAATAGTTTCCAGTTGGAAAACATTCTCGTGTAGTAGTATGACTGTGCAGGTGTTATGTTTTCATAACATCGTTTTGAGTTGGTATGTCTATTTTGAGTCTATAAAACGGAAAACAAAATATAGCTAATACATATAAAGCATAGCAGTTCTGTAAAATACTTAGGTGAACATTGATGGTAGCCAAGAAAGAAAGAAAGTAGAAATTATAGATATGTAGCATTAGAAAAGAGACGATGGATATATTTAATATGGAAAAGGAGAGAATATGATTAAAGAGCAGGCACATAAATCTATAGAAGATTGTGTGGCATTGAAGAAAGGAAAGCGTAGCAATAAAGTAGAACAAAATTGTGCATTACTTTTGTATAACAAGGTAGTGCACGAAGGATATGGTATATATGCGATATGTCTTATTTCTAATGTATATGATTCATGAGAATACATGTGTATATAATTCAGCCTTGGCGATGTTCATCCGAGTTCATTGTGGTCAGTAAATGACCACTGTAATGCATTATTGTGCTTTACAATGACAGATGACACCTATTCAAACGCAGTAAACAACACATTGCAATATAATTTGACGTCATGAGGTTTGACCTCAAGTAACATAAAAGCGTAAAAACACGTGTTAGTGTTCACAAGCTAACATGCGATATATAATGGCAGTTAACATGTTAGGCCGGCTCCAACTCTCGGTCGCCATCAAATACGAACATGGCCACAGGCAATGGTTGAGTTATAGAACAACAGAAATAAGTTTGGTCGTCAAACGACATGCCACTGTGTCTGAATAGTAGGCATTGGCATTTGGCTGAATATGGGCTGAATTTGTTTGTGACGTCATTAAAATATCGTCACATACACGGCTTTTGATACGATTTGTTTGTGAACGTGCAATTCTTTTTGAACACGCACTAACCCACATGGTCAGACATAACTCGGATATCGTCAGAAATAAAGGCACGTGAAAGAGATTAGTGTGTTGATGAACTTAATCGCCAAGGGCAACTGTCAATCACTTGAATGCTAAGATCCCGAGCAAATAGCCCGACCTTTTGACCAGTTCCCACACGCCCTCGTAGACACCAAACAGACTTTATTTACATACGAGTCATTGGTGACTGTCACATTTCACATTAACGATATCTATTATTAACGAGATATGCATATACATGTATCTATATATTTAACGGGACCTACCCCTCAAGGCTACTACGTCCATAACCAGTAGCTGTCAATGCAGACACAACGTTTTGAATTGTGTCCATTTTACAGCTGTAATACATAGGTAAACAGAGAAAAAATAATCAATTATTCATTATTGTAAATTAAGAATTACTCTCCAACTTTACCTTGCCGTACAAGTAACATGCAATAAGAAAGTAAACAAAGGTGATTGGTTGGTTGGTTGGTTGAAGGGTTTTGCGCCTACACGAATCCGGCCTTACGGGTTTCATCTCACTGACGGAAGTCGGTGTTCTGTCGGCGTGAGGGAAGTTGCCTTCCCTCAGGGGGTGGGTAGGAACACCCCTTTTTATAACAATACTCGATGCAAATTAGATTGTACAATGGATATTCGGTACTCCACATAGCAAGGTAACCGTCTAATGCTGTCATATACTATACAAGTATAGAGTAAATATTTTCTATGCAAGTTCCACAAGCGTGACGAGCTCTAAAACAAGACTGAGTAGTATGTATTATGTTTAACTTGATTCAATATTATATAAATGCATCCTGACTTGCTTTACCAATATTTCTATAGGTTCGGTAGATATATATATTTTTGGAAAGGGATCTTTATTTGTCCCGTATTTCTGGGTTTATTATTCATAAATGTACATAAATGTTCATTTACTCAAGTTTGAATACGTTATTAATAATTCTTTATTTTTGTGACAAATAATATTAAATGACTTGATTTTCCGTCACAGAAATCTTAAGTGTTCATCAATTATGTATTTTTACATGACATTTTAATTGAATAAATATCCCTAAAATATGATTGGTGTATTTCCTCTCTGTCCCAAAAATGTCTTTTAATTTGTTTTTGCGCCAAACTCATTTCAAGGACCTACATATATATGTTTACGACACCTGCGAATACACCAATATGTGTTTAGTCTGACAAAACACCTAAACAAATCTGCTTATATTCTATCTGAGAGGTAAAATGTTAAAGAACGTGACGCCGAAGAAGATAATTATATGCTTTGAGTTTATATCGCAGAACATGATGTCTTTTATTGCAATAAAAATGTCAATAAAAATCCCACCAGCTAAATGCTCCCGCCAACATTCGTCAGCTATTTATCTACTGCATTTACTCAGCGGAATAAAAAACACCTTTAAAACGTTTAATAGTATGTGAATGTCTTTTTTACTATTTAACGCAGACTCAATTGTCTGCAGAACAAGAAAGAGTGTTTTGATAAATTTGGGATGACATTCTTTAATATTTTTTTTAACCATTTGTTCTTTTCTTTTTGGAGGAACAAAACCTTTGGAAATTAGCATGTTAAGAAAAATGTATTATTCAACCTTTTTCAGAAGTTATAAGGATATTTAATTCACATTGATGGCTTTTCCGTCAGTATTGTGTCTGTTTTAATGCAAAATATAGTATAGTGCATTGACTGTTAATACATTGACCGCTAAAGCCCATTCCTGCAGGTGGGGGATCGAGAATGGAATAAAACTGCTGATGCCCACTGTATGTATCGTAGAAGGCGACAAATGTGGGACCCCCCCCCCCCCCCCCAAAAATAAATCTGCTGCGCCCATTACAATATTTGGGATCTTTATTGTTTTTTCTACTTTAAACTACCTTTTATTTTCTAGCGCCTTATTTGAGAACACCTCACTTTTGGCTTGAATGTTGAGCGTTCGCCCAGGTGAAGAAGGCAATGGGTTCTGTCCCCAGGCCGGATCATACCGAATTCCTTAAAAACGGTAGTTGCTGTTCCCTGCTGAACGTTCAGCATTAAAGGAATGGCAACAACTGGTTCACCCGTTGTCAGTATAATGTGACCGGGCGGAATGGTGTGCTTTGTGCATTCGGCATGGCATTTTAGTAAGATAGCACTATAAAGTCGGCATCAGATCCGCGCTATCACAAGGAGACAAACACACACCAACATACCCTGTCTCCTGCATACACAGACGCTAGTACGCATACACTACACACATGGAGGCACGTCCTGAAATGACCCGGGCTGTTAATAGGACGTTAAACAAAATTAAAGCAAACAAAACAAAACCGCTTAAGCCCAGGAATTTTATCATGTAAATCTTTTAAAGTTTCGGCATTATTATTGCAGTGAAAACAGTTTCAAGTTTAAGACACTCCTACTTAATCATTTACAGTAGTTCTATATATTTTTTAAATTGCTATGGTATTCATTTTCTTCCACTGACCTGATTTTTTTTCCATAACATCCTGTTTTGTTTGAGAATTTCGTAAGAAAATATCTTCTAACTAATTTTCTTAGTGCAATCAAAAATCTATGTTTTCTTCATACTCTAAAGAACATCCTTACGAAAACTATTTTAGACTTGTCATCTAAATAATACGACTGTGATATATTGTTCTAATAATACATCTCCAGCACACGCGCAGGCATACACACACAGGGAGATATTAGCCAGGTAGTATAGGACTAGTAGTTAGCGCCTGATAAAGCAGCTCCTGCGAATTCCTCAAAACTGTATCGATTAAGGTATATGCTATATGTGTATTCATTGTATCAAATTGTATATCTATCTACTGTAAAGCGCTTTAGAGTGGCTTATGTTAGCTAGATAGGGCGCTGTATCTAATGTTGTATATTTTATTTATTCTAAATGGGTATTGATATTTTTTTATGGAACGGTGTGTGGTTTTTTCGATGACACTTGAGGGGTCGCGGTGGCCAAGTGGTTATGGCATCTGTCGTTCTGCTACCACCAGCCCTCCACCACTGGGTCGCAGGTTCGAGGCCTACATGGTGCATTCGCCAGGTACTGGCTGATTGTTGATGTTTTTCTCCGGGAACTCCGGCTTTCCTCCACCATTAAAACCTGACACGTTCTTAAATGACCATGGCCTAAGAGATCCTTCTTAGTTATCCGGATAGCACGCGCCAGTTTATCGTTACTAGTTCCAAGCTTATCAACCCCTTATCAAATACATCTGAATGTGTATCGGTACGGGTAATTTTTGATCATGGATGAAAAATAAAAATAAAACCAAATAACCACCGCTTAATCTTACTGCAATATCCCTTCTATTAGTTAAAATGATCTAAATAAGCACTAGCCAACAATTATTGCTATTCTCCAGGGAGGTATCCACTTTGGCTGATAGGTTTGTAATACTTTGAAATAAGCTGTTTGACAAAATGTAAGCGACTATTGAATCATTTTATTAACATTTTTGGATCTAAAACGGGTTTTCTCGTTTCTACACACATTTGGAATCTAAACCGTCCATTGAAAGTTTTCTCGTTCCTTCAAAATGTTTGCATTTAATTTCTTTTTCTATTCTATATAAATTTACAGTATATGCCCAGTTGCCCCCGATGTTTGAACAGATGGCTATGGCTATGGCGGGCGGAGGTGGCCAGGGAGCGGGGGCAATGAACCCCCTCATGCTGTCTGCCATGATGAATCCAACCGCAGGTGGAGAAACATCAGCTGCCTTCAACGAGATGGCAATGATGAATATGATGATGAATGGGAACGCAAACGCGGGTAGTATGTTAGACACACAATCACGGGTACCAACTAATTCAAATGACACTTCTGCTAGAAGAGGAATGGTTCGGCCTCCAGTGCCAGTAAACAGAGGTCCCAATATTAACGACATTATGTCCATGATGATGCTGTCTAACTCGGGAGGAACTCCAAGCACGGACACGCTACAGAAGATGGGGGCAATGCGAGCTTTACAGCAAAGTAACACGCGGGTTCTAAACCCCAGTCTGAGACCAAATCAACTGATGGACTTGACGAGAGACGGAGCGGTCAGTATACTTTTTTTATTCACGAAATGAAAGTGAATATAATCAATCGTTTCGTAGAAGTGATCCAAAATACTGATTAATCACTTACGTTCTAGTTAAATTTTTGTTCTTTCTATCGTGTTGCAGGCAGTTCATCCGCAGCATTTAAAAACAGGTTTAAAGACTTTCAATCTAAAAACGAAGCTGTTAGCATGTGATATAGCTAAGGGTTGCAGGGTTTGTAACAATAGATAATTTTGTGACCCCCTCCCCTTTGATAATTAATAAACTTCAATTAGTCGTTTTATATTTTCATTAAATTTGATGAATAACAAACGCACTATGTGCACAAATACCATTATGTTTTGAGCTCCTATGGTAGGGAAGATATATATATATTTATATATATAATATGTGACCTAAGTGAACTGCCAGGCCATGTACCCTATGGCGACATCGTAACGTTGTGAAATTGGCATAACTATTCAAGATATAGCGTATACATGGGCAAAATAATGTTTATCAAACACAGTATTTCGAAAGTGCGTAAGTTTTCAGCGTTTCATCAGAAAGCTATTCAAGCGACAAACAAATTCTGTTATGTACGTTCGTTTTGACGTCACACCAAAGTGAAACATAAAGTTTAAGCTCATGCTTCAATGAAACAACCAGGACTTTTCACGAATCAATGGTGACCATACAGGAGATACGAAGAAATAGGAGAAAGCTATTTTCTAATGAATAATTTACATATGAAAAAGATGAAATAAATATTTTTCTATCAGCACGATTGTCTAGGGGTAGGACGCCGGGCTCGTGACCGAAGGGTTGCTTGTTCGAGTCACGGCACTGTGTTGTATCTTTGAGCAAGATACTTTACTCCGCTTGTTCCAGTCTACTCGGCTGTAAATGAGTACGTGGTTGGGCAGTGCTAGCATTGAAGAATGCTAGCTGTCAGCGCCGAAATGGCAGCTACGGATGTATGCTCCCCAGGGAGTTGAGAAAGGTATTGGCTTGTTGCAAAGGCCCTATAACCACAGATACTAATTTGTGAACCGCTTTGAGACGACCTACGAACTAGGTTGTGATCAATCGATATATAAGAACCTCGAATTACTATTATTATTATCATCAACAAAACATTACAAGTACTTAGTAAGGCTTTCGTCTGAAATTATATGCCAGATTGACCTGAGTTAAATGGTTTTTGTCATACACATGCTACACACAATATATATTCAGCAAACAAGCAGGCAGACACACATTGGGAGATATTAGCCAGGTGGCATAGGACTAGTACTAAGCGTCTGACGATGCAACAACTGCAAACAAAATTGTATTGATAAATGTATTATTGAATGCATGCTAATTGTATTGATGTATACATTGTATATATATATGTATTGTGCAGCGCTTTACGATTGCTTATTCTAGCTAGATATGTGCTATATCAAATTTTGTAGATTTATTTTAAATTTTATCTACATGATGCAGCAGTTACTTATAAGATCACAAATGCGATGAATTTTTAATGTTTTTTAGGGTGTGAGCGCCGTCCTCGCTAGGCAGATATGTCCACCACAGCGATGTCCATTCCGTGCTCCGTGTGAGAGTCCCATAATCACATACAAGCCGGACACATTTTTTGTCTGTCCAGATTGTCCGAAATGCCCTTTCGAAATTATGATGGGAGTAATGAATCCGAGCGCAAATTCTATGAGGTAAGTATATAAATGTTCGTTAATATCTTTGTTTCACGAGTTTCAACCATTTTTTTTTATTCAATAAAGTCGACTCGAGGAGACCCAATATATCATAAAATCTACGTAACATTTTTGTAAATACAGAGGTCTTTGAAGATATGAGTTGATGCAAGCCTTGCGACATTTGGGGAGTCAGTAAATAGTTTCAGTTAACGTATGGTTTGGATGATAGTTAGGATGATACAGCAAGGATTATGAAAAGTTCATTTTACACAACCAATAAGAGTTTCTATGTTTCTACCTATGTATGCATACGCTTCACTGGTCATTTGTCTGATGAAGGTGACAGTGTACATACCGTACTAGTCATCGAAACGTCACATAGAAACTCTTATTATTTGTGTAAAAAGAACTTTTCATAATCCATACTTACCAACCTGAAAAAAATGTTTAGAAATACAGCAAGGATCTTGTCCCCTTTCTCCTGGCATACTTTCCGATAATACTATATCTTTCAGGCCGATTTAATCTTTTGGTTTTGTAATTTTTCTTTTTCTCTTTTCCCTCGAAAAAAATCGGTGATATACAATTGCTAATCAGAGGCATTCCTGTAAACTATGAGAGAACAAATATATCCTTACATGTCCACTCACAACCAGTCAACGGTTTGATATGAGATTTTATGTTTTTATTTTAGTTCTATGGGAAGGCGTACACTGCCAATGATGAGAAGGAACATGCTGGGCCGCCAACGGATGGGACGGCAGATGCCCATGCGTGTATTTCCTATGGGATCTCAGACGGGGAGTAGAAACGCAACCGCAAGTGCTGCATAATAACAGAGTCGTCTTTCATCGACCTACCTGTGTCGGGAAAGCAGATAAAAAAGAGCGAGCAGATTGTTGACATCTATAGCTGTTTTTACGACAAAGAATGGTTGTACGGATGAGTGATTATGATTGAATAGTGTGCGAGTGTTAACAAATCCGTGTGTTATTACCGGAATGTTTAAATTTACTTGCATGAGGTGTTAATTTGTTTTATTTGTGTGTTAAATTGTGTGAATAATTGTTTTAAATGAAATGAAATAAAAAAACAAAGAACTTATTATTCTTTAAATTTTTTTTCTTTTGATTGTGAACATTTCAATAAAAAAATGTGAGCATTCCGGAAAAGACGTGATTTAGAGCACAGCTAGGCAAAGGCGATGTGATTGGGAGCACAGTAAGGGAACGAAGATGTATTTGGGGAACACAGTTAGGCAATTTAGATGTGTTCGGGATCACAGTTAGGCAAATGATATGTGTATTGGAACACAGTTAGGAAAAAAGAAGAGGGAGATAATCAATATTTACAGTCCCTTTCAAATATAATGTATGATCTTAAACATATATTGTTTCGATAACAGTTTTCATTCGGATATATTCTAGGTCATTTAAATAGATAGAATGTGCTATGTTTTTTTCACGTTTAGCTGATTAAAGGGTGGAGAAATGCTATAGTTTTATTACGGAAACCACTGGTAACTGATTTGCATTTACATTACACTATAATAGCATAAATAGTTTAATAAATTAGGTTCGTTATGTGCAGAACATATAATTAATACAAAAAGGTGTAATATTGCTGTTTTTACTGAAGAAGGACTTGATGATACTATCAAATTAATCCCGATTCATTTGCTTATAAAGTTTAGTTGGTACAATGCCGATAACGTCACTTCTACGACGGCAAATCCACGCATAAATTGACAGAGCTCTCCTGATAATCAAAATTCAATATTTTAGTTTTACGGCACTTAGAATATGTAAAATTATGATTGTGTTTGGTTATTGTTATGGTAAGTGAATGGGACTGGGACAAATTGTACATTAATTGATTTGCGGTTTGACCGCCTCCTCAATTGATCAACCATTGAACTTAGTCACAAAAGAGGATTCAATCAATTTATGACTAATTTACTTAATCGCCTGTTAAATTAAAAAAAAAACCGATACAACAAACAATTAGCTACAAGACAATCACTCGAAAATAGCACGACGACAGCAGGTTATTGCTACCCCTATCGGTAAAATCGATTTGCGTTTTAGAAACTGGTTTATATTTATCCTCAAGCTCAGGGAAGTGAATATAATAAAAAGACATAACCATGTCCTAAGCAATTTCAATACACGCCTGTTTTGTATACACTATCTCCACTGGAAGCGCCTGGAAGGGGAGGTAACTTTTTGAAAGTGGTAACTGAGCTGCATATGCTGCACAACTGACATAATTATATAAAAATGTGTTAAATTAAAGGGATTTATTTAAACCCAATTCTATGTACAAACATTAATGTATTAGATACAGTTTTGCATCAAATCATGATAACTAAATGCGGTGATAAGTGAGACTGAATGATACATAGAATATTCTCAGATTTTCGTGCTTTCCGTTAAGGAGATTACACGTGCAGCTTGTCAACTCCGTAGGCTCGTAGATGATATGTGTGGTATTCCAGTCCGAACTGTTTAGGAGCATTCACCATACAAAACGATATAGCGTAGTCACTGACGGTAACCTACAACACAAATTATACGTAACTTATCAAACAGTGCAATATGTACATGTCTGTGATAAAAAAAAAACCCAGATCGTTTCGGAAACTGTTTGGGTTTTTCCGTCGCATTGTCGTGACGTGACAAAAAAGTTCCGAACAGTTCCCGCTTGACTAAAAAGGGTTAGAATATAACTAACGACTTTGTTCTCACAAACATAGATCCAGTTTATATAGAATGTAAATGATACTAAAGAAACACTAGTTATAAAGATAAAAAAATAATAATGTTCAATTCAAAAAATAAAGGCTTTAGTTATTAATACCGTCATGAATGTTAAAATGATTTTTTTATGATTATTTATCTTTCTGTGGTATGGTAACCTACCTAGCTAAACCCTGACTACCTGGATGAGTCGCATTAATGGTGTACAATAAATCATGTGATAATTTTTGCTTAACTTTGTTTCTATAAGACATTTATATCCGTAATGAATTCCAACTAATATGCTGTTTCAAACAGATTTCAAAATGGTAGCATTTTCCCCAGGAAATTTGCAGTAGTTTTCAGTTTTGATGATGTGGGCGTTAGAGAGATTTGCAAAGCCTCGTGCTGTAATAAAGATCGTCGTTGGAATAGTAGTTTCAGTTTTATTGTGTGATAACATGAAAGTTGGAATGGCATTGGTTGAAGCTAGATTATTCCCTTATTATTGACACTTTATATGCGCTGGTACGTTTATATTCAGGGTGGAAAGATGTTACCCATTTATGCTGCAAGAATCTTTAATTAAAATAGCAAGCTTCATGCTCCGTTTGATGTAATATTTACTTTGCCAGTGGCTCCAACTTCTTCATGCTCGTGGAAGTATATAAGGCTGAGGTGTTCCGGGGGCACACAGTTGAACATTTCACGCCCATCCGTATCCTTGGTCGACCCGACAATGACGCCAGCAACATCCATACATAGATCTTCATACGCATCTCCAGATACAGGACCGTCACATGATATCTGTTTATAGTCAATGGCCGACACACGCCGAACTGCTTCCTTGCTCATTACAAATCCCATATTTTTAATATTAAATTGCCATGGCAATCCTATCTTTTTAAATTCGACGCCTTTGAAGGGATTTACTCGACCGTAGAGTACAGGCGATGTCGGGTCTTTAGTGGACAAGAAATGACGCAGATTCTCCATTATGACATAGGTCTCGTCTGTGGCTATCAGAAACCAATCACACTGTTCAATATATTCTTTCATTATCAAACTTATAACGCTCTGAATCTTTTTTCTGTAGAAAGAAAATTGTTCCGGGGAGCCGACTTCAACAATCGGAAAGTTATAAGAGTCAATGGCCCCGTGCGCGAGAAAAACTACTTGAGTACATCGTTTGGCCCATGTTTTGTGAATTGCTGTTGATTTCTTTGGCAGGTCGACCGTTTTGGCAAGTATTACGCAAAACACAGTGATTTGTTTCTTCAACGAATCTGCAATTTTTGTATTATCTAGAAAGGAAAAAAGAAAATACCATGTCATATAATTTGGGATAATAAGCCATTTTAATGCATTTATAATGCAGTCTCATGTGAAAAACTACATTCAAAATTACTATACAAACGTATAAATCTTATGTTTCCTCCCACTTAAGGTAAATTTTAAACTGTGACTTTGATTCAGATAAAAAAAATCCATACAAAATCCAAACTAAATCTATTTCTATATGACCATCTCGACAATTTTGTCTTGACGTCACACCAACTAGATCGGCATAGATGTTGACGTCTATATATAAGATATAACGACGTGACGTCACATTACAAGTATGTACAAGATGAGAAGACAAACAAGCTAACTTTCAAGGTGGCCTATTGAGACTAAACTAAAATATTTTACTCATAACTGAGCGAGATATGGTTTTCTCCCACACTTCACAGGTACATTCCCGTTTTTGGTAGGGAAAAGATAAACCTGTCTTGATCTATCTTGATCAAGACAGCTGGCACGCGCTATTATGTCACAGACAACGCATTTCTTTCAACATGATCTGTGACCCTGTGCACTTTTAGCAAAACCGATTACATCATCACTTTTACACACATGTATTGGAATAATTACAGTCAACAATAAACAAAAACATAGGATGTCGTCTCTTCTTTCAATGACCAATCGCTCAAATGAAACCGCACAAACGGACTTAGGACGACAGACTGGGTCTAGCGCACCAACCTCACATCGGCTGATGTCAAACGAACAGTCAACAAACATTACACATGTGACTACAGCGCACAACAGCATGTCCTTGTGCGAACCTGAAAGCGTTCGTAAATCCAATGAATATGAAATCCCGAGTATATTCCAAGGCACAACAATCACTGGAGGAACATTTAACATTACTATCAACAATATCACAACGATGTCAGCCCCCAAAACGAAACGACCGAGGCTGTTGTATTCTGACTCCGAGTGAACTGTTCAAAGCGTAAAGTCAGCGAGTGCAAGTAGTTCTGTTTGTTTTCGTTAAAGACACTATATCGATTAATCTTATGACAAAAAATGTCAATATACAATATAACTTTGCTAATACTGATAATGTATTAAATATCTAAATTTAATTATGACTGCTTTTTTTATTTACATTGCGGATTTTTTTTACACACATTTGCAGCACAGCGGCTATGTGTGTATTCATGCGCCATTGCTGATAGCACAGTGCATTGGGGGCATTTTAACGGTATGAAAATGAGGGAGAAAAATAATCAATCATTCCTGTGTGATGTAGACAGAGATATCTCAACCCTCGGGTTGATATTTTTTTTTAGGTTTAGCACTCGGCAAAGCTTCGTGCTAAACCTACAAAAATATCTCACCCTCTGGTTGAGATATATCTGTCTACATCACACAGGAGTGATATATTCTATTAATCTCAGTCGAGTGCTCAGATTTTGTAACATAATCCGAACCGAGGCGTAAGCCGAGGTTGGGATGTTACAGAATCTTAGCCCAAGCTAAAATAATCTCGCAATCTGATTAAAATCATCTGTTACATGCATATGGCTCCGCCTGAATATCTGAATGTGCCGCGGTCAGGGTCACGTTCAAGTGACCTTTAGATGAACCAATCAGAGGCGCGCTGGTAAAAGTTTGCCAGCGAATCGGAATATCATGGTTGATAGATAAATAGCGAGGGTTATCGAACAGATTAGTTTTCCAAAACAAATATGGCGACGGGAACTGACGTTTCTCCGACGCCGAGGAACCCGTACCCATTGGGTAATAATTGCGTAGGCAACACCGCCATACAGTTTTTCTTCTCTAATAAAGCTTCGAATATCATTTTCTGTTCGGGTTTCAGACGATCAATCTCAAATAACTTCAGAACTTTCGCATCATTCTCATCAATGTCCGCCATATTTGTTACAACTCCGAGCGCCCTTTTAAAAGAGGGTCTCTGATTGGTCAAAATTTAATGAGTATTTATAAATATAAAGGTCACCTGACCGTGACCCTGACCGCGGCACACTCAGATGTTCAGGCGTAGTACAAAGTTAACGAAGCCATGTAACATATGATTTTAATCAGACTGTATAATCTCGCTAAGTTACAAGTAATATATTTTATTTCTCGCAAAAGTTCGAAAAAGATATACAATTTTTCTTAAGACTACAAATACGGCTTCTAAACTAATAAAACTTCATTTGAATGCTTCCGCGTTAAAATGAAGTACGTTTTTACAAAGGAGACAACGTATTTACAGTCTATATTATATTTTATCTATAGCATCAGGAATCCAACAACAACAAAACATAACGTATAAAGACAAAACAGAATATGCATAATGCGGATGGTCAATTTCGAGCCGTCAACGCGCGGATCAATATATCGTTGTGTAAATATTTCGCGAAATGTAGCGTAAATGTACCAAACAGATCGGACGAAACAGACAAATCTAGCATGTGGTATGCCAGTGGGATGTCTCTGTCTGAGGTGCGAGAATACCTATTATAAACCAGTCTATACAACTCTGTACCACAAGTAGTCGCACGATCTCACCATGTTTACGACATAGGACCACTTTACGGTATTAATTGCCATTAAATGTCACCCGGGTCTTTGCAAATAATAAAACTGATCTTAAACACACAAAAGTAAATATTTCATTTAATCTTGCCTCAAGAATTAACATCATTGTCAGTGAGAGGCAAGTTCAATATGCAAAACCTCTGAGTCTAGGTCAGCTTTGATGTTATTGTATTGCTTTCTATATCCGGATGTTGTTGGAAACACGATTGTTTGTCAGAGATTTCACGAGGGCGAAGAGAAACAAAACACATTCGGAACTCGGTTGTGTAGGCTCTTGCCCAAATATCTGTTTCAAGAGAGGTTCTGAATAAGGGAAATATGACCGAGGAGACTAGATTGCGTGAGGTTGACATGAGTTTTTTATTTCCCCGTCATGTGATCAATATCATCCAATCATCCATGCTGTTACATAAAGGTGAGGTATAATAGTATCATTTGTTTGAAACCATCAACGGTAATGAAATCAAATCGCACAAACAATCAACGTACAACGAAACAACAATGAAAAATAACCATATCCTACCATGGTGATGACCCCTATCCTCATTCAAGTCTTTAAATTGCATATTTTCCAATTCAACGTCGTCCAAATCTTTCGGTAGTTCTTTTTCCTTTTCAAAATTCTCCACTTTTCCACTGCGCACGTGAGCCTTGTCATGGTGAGCGCGCATTCGAATATCGTGAAGTGACGGGACAAACAGGTAGTAAACAACAATTCCAAGGCATATCCCGGTCATAAACCTTTGGAGAGAAAATCCCATTTTTGTATCAAAAGAAAAAAATATATGGAGAAAACAAAGAAGAAGATAAAAACTAAATCTTTACAATCCCCGCAGTTGGGACAGCTTCACATTTCTATAGTTCATTCAAGATGAACGCGAAAAAAACCCCGGTTCTCAACTAGAGGTTTTACAAACAATGAATCGTGCATAAAACCAGAAAGGGAAATACACATAAGTAAGATTGATTTTTATTGTATATTAAGAAAAGATACATGTTTATACCAGGTGTCCCGTATAAGTCTATTCGATTTAAAAGATCAAATAAGCCGTTTCGATGCTTTTTGTGTCTCAAATCAAATGACAAAGGACTAAGTAGCTGGTCTGTACTTTATACTAGACCGAGAGAAATATAAATCGAATGTTCACAGCTGCAACGGTTTTATTGTTGCTTAAAACCATATCGATAATCATATAATAAATGGCACCCAATCCTTTTGTCATCCCATGGCAAGTGTTGTGCAGTTTTAACACACCCCGTGATAAAATATCGACCAGCCATTACATTTTCAATGAAGAATTACAAAGATAGGCGGACACTATCACATTTGTAGTAATGAGTGTGAGGATTAAAGTAAGTAGCTCTCTGTCCGATAGATGTGAATGGTCCGAGGTGTTTTCGAATGAGAAAGAATATACCTGTTGTGTGCACTGACTGTTACTAACAGGAATACCAGATGATATTAGTATTATTATTTGATTGGTCGTTTAGAGTCCAATTATAATGATACGAGGTGAATATTAACATTCGTGATAATTAAGCAAAAAACGGTATGCCGTGTGGTGGATTCCGGAAAGTTTTTTATGCGGCGATAGTATTTTTTTATTTTTTTTTGGCAAAATAAAAGATATGTTGTGCATATTTACAGTAAGCTTTCCTCAACAATAAAACTAAGTGAATGGATGAGTGACTAGATAAAACAATGTGTGTCATCATATACATTTTACAAAAACGTGTTTAGAACTTATTAACGTATCCTTAACGCCCATCAACACAAAAGAGGTTTTTAAGGTCAATAAAAAGTAGCTTAAACATATTAAAGGAAATGACATCAAACGACCGCAAAGGAAAAAAACCACATACGTCAACTTAAAAAGGAAGTGTAGCTATGGTTAGCTATGGTTATTTACATCTTTCTGAATAGACCCGGATAATATTTGATAAACATGATTCTTGGAGTATTTATTGTAACAGAAACATGCTCATAACGTATACACTGTATGTTGTTATAACATATAAAACGTTCATCAGAATCAAAGTTGTCTTAACAACGCACCAGTAAGTACCACCTCTGACGACGTGGAAATCTACATATACATGTAGCAGTGTCAAAATGTTCCATGAACAAATCTCTGATTAGATTTTCATAAATAACTGAACAAATAAGATTTGATTACTTACTGTTTCGTAATTGTGCTTCGCACCATTTTGCCATCTCATGTCTTTATGTGTGATATAAACTACACACACGAGTATGGAGTGTCAACATGCCCTATAGCGGTAAGTTCAATTATGGCATGCGACAATAATTGTGGAATATCCCGAGGGTGTAGCTAATTCCATTTTAAAAGAGTCCTGTTGGAGTTCACTCGATAGTGTCCACGTGTTTTTATTAACAAGTAAAAGGAAAACGAATTACTGGTCGTTCTTTTCAATATTCTAACTTTTTTTTTGCAAAAATATCGATTTTGAAGTTTGTTTTTTTAATTTTAATTTCAACACTATAATTGTTTTAATTATTTTAGGATCCCTGTGCCACTGGAAGCTAAACATGTCCAATGTTACTTTTCATACGTACAGTAACCCCCCCCCCCCCCCCCCCCCCCCCTTGATGTCGTTTTCGATATAACTGAAGTGGGTATAGCGCCAATTTGGTAGCTCATATTCTTCGACCGTATTATGATCCGAGGTCAAGAGTGCAAGGTATGGGTTTATTTTCAGTAATGATTAATTAAAGTTATTGTCACGCTGGTAACAAAGTTTCTAATTCATAGTTACATTGTGTTGGCAGTGGTACGGAGATCCTTAAATGTTTCCATTGTAAACGCTCCGAGTTGTCCAAGAAAGTAAATTACAATAACTACAGTCATATTTATATAAGCCTTTTATAGGAGAAGGAGAAATTCACAGCCAGACGTGGATTCTAACCTGGGACCCTACTTACACCAGACAGACGCCTCACCACGATCGACCCCCTTCATCTCCGCTACATTCCTCCCTCATGTTTGAACATCTTCGTCTCCAAAATCACAAGTTATTAAAACCCTGTTCGGGTGTCCCATTGGCAAGCATTTACCCAGTACTTGAATCAAAAGCTGACAAGCAATCCAATTTTGTAATAAGAGAGGAAAAAGCACAGCAAGACCAGGATTCGAACCCAGGACCCTCTTACCTCCAGAAGATTGACCCTGTCAAGCTCCACTACATTAAGGAAGATTTAACATATATGTGCCTCAGTTATGAAAGAATATATAATGAGGGTGTGAAAATGGGAAAAACAGTTAATGGAGGCGGTTTCTGTCTGAGTAAATTGTTTCCCGATATTTTTGAGTCCTGAGGCAGTAGTCTATGCTAAACTTAACATGATAGATAACACGGACAGGCTTGCCTGTATAGTATCACCAATCTGAAAGATACTGACCATGTACTGATCACCGTTCAACGCTAACTAGTTAATGACATTAGTTGCTTTTCTGTAAACTAGTTTGGATAAGGGCCAATAGCTAGAAGGAAGAACTCCGTTTGATGATAGTACTCTTATGGGACATAAGAAACGACACGTACATGCTCACACTTTTCTATTGGGAGATCTAAAGCTTTGAAGCGAACAGTAAAACTAGTTATTGATTGGCTGGGTTAAGCTAAGAGACCTGCAGATAACGTTGTACTGTATATTTCATACCTCCCACAATAGAGAGGCGAGAGCAAAAAGCACTCCGTTTTCAAAAGCCATTTTAAAGCTATTAATCCCCCTTTTTTTTAAATTGCATGAACTGAATAGTACAAGGGGACTCTCAAATACATGACACATATTAACTGATTGTCATCGACAACGACTACTCCCATTCATTCTCCCCTCCTCCCCGCACACATACACGCAGGTCAACCACGAATACAACAGCTGTACACACACAGCTTTTATAATACAACTGTAACGATTTTTTAACGTTTTTCAACGGGCTCGTTAAAATGAAAGTTTTAGAAGTCAGTATCGAACGTAAAAGTTAATTCTGTTCATATGATGGCCCGATTTAGATCGTTTCAAGACATTTGACTCATATTTATGGCAGTGATAGAAGGCGTAAAACTTGTTCAATAATTAAGTACTGACTTATGAGCAGCAAGCTGACTGCTGGTCGGTGTTCATTTGCATGGTATGGAGCCGTAACTAGCCCTTGCTCAGAGTGGAAGGCCACGGTAGGGGGACCAGGTGACTCAGAAACGCCCCCTCCCTGGCGGAAAAATGATTATACAATTTTTAAGATCTATCGGTTTCGAGATAATTTTCTGGAGGGTAAACTTCAGAAAGTAATTGTAAATTTGAGACATTCTACAACAAAAGGATGTTTTTAATTTTTAATTGCATTTTTTCACAAGCAGTGTTTTTGTTGCTGTTATTGTTGTTATTGTTGTTATTGTTTTTTTTATTTTGTTTTGTTCTACTATTTTTTTATTTTTTTGTTTTCGGGGGGGG